TAATACTACGTAGCATTATGTGGGTCTTAAAGGCTTTTATACAAAGAGTTTCGAGGCTGTTGCAGAATAGTTGGAACAGGGTTTCTGGAAAATGGTGTAGGGTTTAGGGCTTAGGGTCTACAAGGCTTTGATAACCAAGGCTTCAGGTACACTTGCCTTCAGCCTTAATGATGTGAATCTGCTGTCGGCGGATATATTGTTGTATAACCCTCTCCCAGACAGCGTTAAAGAAACGCGTCTTGTCCAGACAACCCTCAAACACCGCAAAGCACAAACACTCCCTGTAATTCTATACTACAACGCAGGCCAAGCCCCTTCAGAAAACACACGCTAAACAAAACCCTGACAACACCTATGACGCAAACATAAACTGGCCCGTATAGGAACCGGCCTAGTAACCCTTCTAGGACCCACCTGAAAATAAACCCTGTAGCTTTACATATAGGACTCCTTCAAGGTAATATACAAGCCTTTATAATTAGAATAAGGCTTTGGGGGTGTACTATACTCTAGTTCCAACAAGGAACTGCCAAACTAGCAGAGGTAATTATTAAGGCCCCTATATTACCCCCTGAATAACGGAAACTGAACCCTAAACCCTAAAACCCTAAAACCCTAAACCCCAAAACCCTAAAACCCCTAAACCCTAAAACCCTAAAAACCCTAAAACCCCAAAACCCTAAAACCCCAAAACCCTAAAATCCTAAACCTCTAAAACCCCAAAAACCCTAAAAACCCTAAACCCTAAAAACCCTAAAACCCTTTGAGGGGCCCACCGAGTCGGCTCCCTTGCAGAAGAGAACCAGCTGCTCAGCGCCCGAGGGCTCCTCTGCAAGAGTCTTCGGGCGTTTAGGGTTTAGGGCTTTGAGGGTTTAGGGTTTAGAGCTTTGAGGGTTTAGGGTTTAGGGTTTGGGGCTTTGAGGGTTTAGGGTTTAGGGCTTCGAGGGCTTAGGGTTTAGGGTTTAGAGCTTTGAGGGTTTAGGGTTTAGGGCTTGGGGCTTTGAGGGTTTAGGGTTTAGGGCTTTGAGGGTTTAGGGTTTCGTTGAACCGCTAAGGTTGGTTCTTGGGGCTTAGGTTAAGTATTCCAAGCAACACTACGGGTCCATGTACCCAAATAGTATATACTTTGGCCTTAAAGTAGTCCCTACATAGGTACTTTGGGGCCGAAGTATATACTACTTGGGTACATGGACCCTTGGGGCAAGGCAGAGTTCTTGAGCTGGTTGAAGGTTTCGGTGCTTCTGGGTGGGCAGGCTGTGTAGGGCTTGCAGCTCTGGAAGTCGAGCTCAGGAGCTTGCTTGCACCTCCCCTACAGGGTCCAAATACCTCTTCTTCTAGGGTTTGGGGGTACCGAAAGCCAGAAATAAGGATTAATGGAACCCTTAATCTAGGGCTTTGCAATCTTTTCAGAATGTTTGGAAATGTTTTCAGATGTGGTGGCGCCTTCGAAAGTCTCGGGTCCGACATGTTCCGACGACGGTCTTCGGAGTCAGCAGGCTTTTCGAAGAATAGAGAACTCTAGTAGGGCTCCTTTGATTGTTGATGGCTTTTAGGGCTTCGGGTGTGGGGTATACCATAAACCCAAAACCCTACGGGCTGTGGCTTTGGAGTCAGGAAGCAGCCTGTCTTAGTGCTAGTGACCCCGACACTGAAGTGCTGAGGGGAAGATTGACGAGCTTCAGCCCTGTTTGGGGCTTGGGGTTTAGGATTTTAGGGTTTAGGGTTTAGGGCTTACAGTTTAGGGAGGGTACTAGGGGTTTGAAGCCTAGTCGCACTAACCGCGGTCCAAAAGAACACTATAGCAGGTTGTTTGGGCCTAAAGGCGTTGATGAATGAGTGCTTGGAGCCTGAGGGCAAACCTGAGATGGCAAAACGGCTCATCCGAACGGAATCCTTGCAGAACCCAAACCAAAAAATCCTAAAACACCCCAGACACCTCCAGTGTTGGCTCCTTGTAGCGGGCGATGACCGAAGAACGCTTTCGAGTGGAGTTGAACTTGATGGTCGCCAAGATCTCCACCTCCGTTCGCTTGCTTGTCCCACTTCCGAGAAAGTTAGAGCGTCGCCTTCAAAACTATGAAAATGTATGATACCCCTAACAAGCTAAACGCTGCTTGCTACACTAGGAAGTAGAGGTTTGTACAGGGTTGTGTAAGGTAAGGTGCCGTAGGGTCGTAAACGCTTGTCGGGTTTGGATCTTGGGATCTTGGTCTTCTCGGGTCGTGAAGGTTTTAGGAGTGTTTGCAGGGTGTACAGCACCCCGGTACACTTTGCTTGAAACCCTAAACCCTACACCGTAATCAGAGGGACTTGTTAAATCGGTTGTTGTTGAGTCACAGTTGCTCCACCTTGGGTTCTCCCAACTGTCGCCCTACTTCATCAAAAACTTAGGTAGTTCCTCCCCTTGAGTATCCAAGTTAGGATGAGGGTAAACCGGAAACCTCGAACTGGATTTTCCAGTGGATGGTGTACGTAGATCTTCTTGAACCCTTGCCCCTGGAGGGAGAAACGAGGGTCAAGGCTAAAAGCCAGCTCTCGGCTCTGCTGTGGGAGCTTGCTGTGGTCCCAGAGAGCCCAATACCCAATACTCCTCAACTAAGGAACCGACCTTAATTACATAGTAATGGAAAGACCGCTGGCAAGGGCCCCCCCATAGTTAAAGGTAGATGGCTTATTTAAGCTATAAAATATCATGAGAAACTATAACTAGCTATTATGACTCTAAACTCAAAGCCTTAGAAGCAAATCCCTTGTAGTAAGTACAGTACCCCTCATAATATTCCTAAACCCGTATATCACTGAGTATGATTCCCTCGTATAGGAATCCAGGCACTAAACCTAAACTTCCAGCCAGTTCCTTGGCCCGTGTGAAGATACTGTTGGAGGCCTTCATAAGTAATATATACGGGCCTTAATACTTAGAACAGGAACATATATTTTCTACTATAACTATAATAAGGAGCCACCAAAATAGTAGAGGCAATTCCTTATTAAGGCCCCTTATATTAGAGTCGGATCGGTGGTGCTGGTCGTGATTGTGGCCGTTGGCGTGGTAGTGGTAGAAGCACTGGAAGCAAACAACTGCGGCACTACCATCCATGATGGTAAGACAAATCCAGCGCACAGTCGACCTAGTAGCCATGGTACTGACGCTGAACTGCACCAGTCTCGGCGTCGTGCCCATCATCACAGGTTGCCCTAAGCCCTGAATCCTAGATCCCAAACAATATAGGGGCCATAACAATTAGAATAGGGTTTTGAGGAATAGTATACAGTAACTAATAATAAGAAACCCCCCTCAAACTAGTATAGGCAATTCTTATTGCCCCTATATTATTGAAGCACTGCACAGCAATGCCTTGATGATGGTCCCGTCATCCAGCTTCACCTGGACACCTTCGGAAGGGTTTAGGGGTATAGAGGTTTAGGCTTGAGGGTTCGGGCCTTAGGACGGTGCACCGCCGAGTGAGGACTTTGGGCGTATGGCTGCAGAGCGTCGAACACTTAGATAGAAAGTCCCAAATGCGAACGATCAAACCGAAAACCGTGCATAGCTGCTTCAGATGAGTCTGGGGGTTGGCTCTCAGCGACTCTCAGCTGCATCTACGCTTTTGTCCTACAGCGTTGTGGCACCTCGGGACTCAAGCTACTTAGAAGCGATCTGTTAGCTTGGGTTTAGGCTTTGGAGCTACGGGCAGCGTGAGATTCTACAGGACAACGGCGCTATTGAGAGGATTAGGGGCGCGAAGGCTGACGCGGATATAGGCGTGCGGCCTGCACCTAAACCCTCAACCCGAAACCCCTAAACCCTTAAACCCTAAACCCTGACCCCTAAACCCCTGAACGCTAGTGTTGGGCGTTGGGCTTTCGCGGCCGGGCTGCTCAACCCAAACATCGCGGATCCGAAACTCCACACTGGAAACCCTCATACCCTCAAACTACGACTCGTGAACACCCTGCAGTAAATTCTCCGACTTTTACCCCTAAGACTCCAAATAACCCAAAGTAGGTACGAAGTATAGACGTTATAGACCAGAAGGTAAGTACTCTTTGTAGACTTGGAGGCTTGGGGTACAGGTTCCAGCCCCGAGGTACAAAACTGAGTTGGGTTCTGGGTTACACTCCAATATAAATAGATACATATATATATATATATAGAGATAGCAATGCACTTCTATGAGGAGCCCGAAGGGATAGCATTGTTGATTCCGGCCACTTTCGGGTTCAGGATTGAGGGATCAAGGTAGAATTGCTGGGTATGGGATTTGGGTTTGCAGGGTCTTGCAGCTGGGGTTCATACGTCTCGGGTGTATAGACTTGCATGCAAAAGGGATGCTTAGGTTTCTGGACTCAGGACTTCGGTTTACATAGTTGTAATGAAGGTTTGGGAGAGCAACTTATCTGGCATTAAAGTTTTGCGGCCTTGGTTTCTGGAGCAAAGAAGACTGAGATAAGAGTATGCTTCACAGCTGGTACATCATGACCCTGATGCCGCTGAGTTGCAGTCTACTTCGGAACACTAGCACTAGTAACCCTTTCTCCATGTAATGATTCATCTTCGGGGTTGGTGCTTAGGGCCACGGCTACGGGCTTGAGGTGGAAGCCCTTGGGGCTTTCGGTCTAGGCTTGTCTAATGTATACAATAGTTGCACAAGTGCACCAAAGTCAAATCCTGACCATGCCCTACCGAAAATAATCAAGAGCATCTTGCGAGCAGTTCGTTGGTGGTGAAAAGCTGGAGATGCACTGGGTTTAGGGCTTAGGGCTTAGGGTTTAGGGATCTCTCAACCGTAAGCCCAAGCCTGGCAGACGGTACTGAATATTTTCCAGGAATCTCATCACCTGCAACTGCCTCGCGCATCTCTAGATGTCCTTCACTTGCTATACAACTGCCAGCCAATGCGCTTGATCTCCGGACCACCTCCATAACGGGACTGCAAATATCTCCACAAAGTAGGGCAGACTCTACCATAGTCACGCTTCAGCTGCATATCCGGAAGCTAGTTCCCAGAAGCGTCCACCAGGTTGTGGTTGCTTATCGGACCAGGAGGCTCACGTGCGCTTAACAGGAAACCTTTCGTCCAGGAGTTAAGCCAGCGCATGCAGATCAGGTACCCCTCCACCTGCAAGGAGCAAAGCAACGCGACACGACAAACAATGCACGGATGGACTTTAGACGTTTAGAATTGTAAGTTTCGATGTCCTGCCAGACTGGCACTTCTTTGAGATGATATGGTCAGTGATCGAGTGATCGATGCTTCTTTTATGATTGTGTGGCTTCTGGAGAGTTTGTTTGATGCATTTTACTTTCATTCCCTGAGTTTCTGTGGTTCTGCATTATGGCACGTATTGCCTTCACATCGGAGACAACAGAGCGTGCTGGCAAGGTTTACGGCAGAATGCAAGCGAACACCCTGGGTTATGATGGGAATCCGATCCGAGAAAGTCTCGAGAAGTAGACCTTGCTCTATGGATAGCCAGTACTAGGCTTGGCTGGCCAACAAGTTCTGTGGAAATGTGGAGAGGGTCCGCTGGGGCGGAGCGGCGGTCGCGAGGGGAGGGTGGGGAGGTTGCCGGGGAAGCCAGGGAAAGGGCTGCTGCCGACCAAACACATTTTAAAACAACCGTCGACCATCAGACAAAACATGATAATTACACAAAAAGACTGCCGAATACAGATTGTTAAGGGGTCCCGGATAACGCCCCCAAATCCTCTCGGAAATCCACCCTAAACTCCAATCTCACTTATGACTCTTCTCCGACTCCGTCGGACGGCTCCCCATCGGAGCCAGGTCGGGCCGCGCAATCCGCTCTGCGTCAAAAGACCCTCTGGACTGGTGAGTTAACATAGACTGGACCCAAGTCGCCTCAACCAGCGCAGCAGCAGGCTGCAAACAGATTGCTGACAATTGTTTGCAGCCTATGCCACGAAAACCAGATCATAAAGTAGACCCTATGTCCTATAAGCATAACAACAACAGCAAAACATTCATAACACAGCTGCAGATGAGTTACAAGTACAACGCAACTCCGACCCCGAAGGCACGGTATCTTTCTATCAGTCTACGAGGCTTTTCCTGAGTCGGAACTTGCCGCTTGCAGCAGTACATACTGAATGCCGCGCTCTCTGACGAATCGCGCAATTGCCAGCCCAACAGTAAGGAGTCACCGAGAAAAACAAGGCCCGGAAACACCGGTCGAAAGAAAGAGGATTCCTGTCATGAGCAGGGCCAGGACCTGCCAGCTCAGCCGTCACAACCAGACGAGAAAAAAACCGGGGAGCACCATCGCTCACCATCGCATGAAAGAGGATTCATGTCGCATGAGCCGCAAGGTCCGCTTGCCTGTTTTCGTGTAGTCGTGGCACGAAAATGCTTCTGCTTGGTAACGAGTCCGAAAACGAAGAACGGATGGGCTCGTGGTGCTAGAGCATATCGTCATATTGTTTGCCTACAATAGGACCAGGACATCTCCTTGTTGTGATTGTCCGTTTGCCTTGTCCCGGGGAGTCCGAAAACCAAAAACTGATGCGCATGCGCGTTTGCTGTTTTCTTGGTACGACAACTGCATCCGTGAGGTCCGTTTGCCAAATGTTTCATAAACTTACACATCGTGAATCATAGATAAGCCTACGACTTACTATGAGCTAAGGTCTCCTTTCTGTACCAAGCCGAACCCCACATCTTTGCAAACAAGTGTGAAAGCAGTGCCGACCTCGAAGTTGCTGGGGCTATTCAAAGTCTTTTCGGCGAACTCGACTTCTTCCTTCCGGCGTGCTGCCAATTGCTCCTGGCAAGGCTGGGTTTGGCGGTTTAGGGTTTAGGTCGGGAATTCTGATTTTGGAAACGCGAGGTGGGGGTCGGGGGGTGGACTGATGCATCAAAGCAGTGCCGCCGTGCCTTGGTCGGAGTCTCTGGCTGGTATTTGGTCGGTGTCGTGCACCGTCTCCAAAGAAGTTCCACTAGCAGCTCCTGTTCCATGGCCGGAGTCCACCACTCCTCTTCCGCTGCCGTTTGGAAGCAAGCTTTGAACGCCCCCAGGTTGTGATGCTCGGCCGCACACATCTTCAAAGCTGCGTTGAAAGCTAGCGGCTGCAAACAAATGCACTTCTGGGCCATCGATCTGCGCAGGAACATCATTGAGCTATCACCCTGCTTTGGGGTTGCAAGGCTCGCCAGTACCAGTTCACGGACTTCGGAGTGAGCTTTATCACTCAGCTGGAGGAAGTTGCAGCCACCTGGCCCATCCACGATGGACAGCACGTCAACCCAATCGCATGTGGTCAACTGTTTCCCGTCCACTTCTTCTGGGAATGATCCCATATACAAGTACCGAAGGAAAGCCTTTACGGCAGCAGAACTTGGGCCCACCGGAAGTGTGATGGGTACCCTGCCGCTGGAGCTTTCCCTCATGGGAGCCGACAGCATTCTTGCAAAATAGGCAGACCGTGCGGCAAGGACGCAGCGGTGCGAAGCCAACTGAGACGCTACCAGCTCTCCCCAGCAGACCCGGCAGTCAATCCTCGAATCGAGGTCCAGCGGTGTGCCATCCGCGTCGCGGCTGGATTCGAAGAGCACGCCGAGATGCTGCAGCAACTTCGAAGGTGGCACAGCAGTGAGCTGCGAAGCATCGCTTGGCAGAACTTGAACTGCGGCACCAGCGGCTGCAGAAACTGCACGTGCTACAGCTTCTGGATGCTCACTACCCAATGCAGCAACCAGTGACTGGTTGAAAGGCACAGACCTGATCAAGTCGTTTCCTCGCTTCTTCAGGAACTGATAGACAACATTTTCGAGCTTCTTCGAGCCGAGTTTGAGGGCCGCCTGTAACACTTCCACCACGGTCTGATCTGTCATCTGATCGCACATATGCTGCTCGCACAAAGTCCACAGACGTCTCATCTCGCACGGGCTGTCTTCTAACCTGATCTTCTTGTTCCCGCTTTCTGCCGAGACTGCATGGCGAGGATCCCGGCTCACCAAGCTGGATGCCAGCATCAGCAAATCTAAGATCGGGCTTGGGTTCTCACCAAAAGACGGAGGGAGGCAATCCGTGTAGAGGTAGAGCAGGAGGTTCCGGACTGCCTCTACGCCTGCATCCGGCAGGGAGATGCTCCAAAGGGATCCGCCTGGCTCCTTCACTGCCTTCTCGGCGAGTTGCGGACATCGCACCTCCAGTAAAGCCAAGTGGGCACGTACATCGCCATTCCTTCCTCGCAGGACCGCATCTGCCAGTAGCCCCTCATCAGAGATAGCAAGCGCTTGCAGGTCGTCATGTAGAGCTTGGTTCATGGAGGTTCGCATATGACTACAGATACCTTCACCATTCCTCGTATGACTTCCCCGCTACTCGACAATGATAAGCTTTCTTAGTGTTTGTTGCGGATATGATGACGGCGGCTGTCTTGCAATCTCACTTCGTGAAACAATCTATAGCTCAGCATTCTGGCAAATGCTGCTGAAACATGACATCGGAGGAAGAAAGAGTGGGCAGCATCTACGAGTTTCGATGCAGCGCTGCTGGCCACACCATTCGTGCCACTTCAGTTCTTCATGCCCGCCGGGCGGGCCCAACACGTGTCTATGAACGTATTACGCAGAGAAAAGCAAGTGCTATCACTTGCTGACAGACCCATGTGGGGAAAGTCTATCTGACATCATATTGCATGCCTATACTAATCAGAGTATTCCAACAAGGGCAAGTGTCGCGCTCGCTACTGACTGCTAAGACTTGCCAGTGCTAGGCACTGCTGGCAGGAGCTATGATAGTTATCTCGAGCATGTATCGGTGAATAACATGGGGATTCCAAAGTTGCCGTTGCAGTAGAGGCACCAGCAGCAAGAGTCATGAAGAGAAGCATGCTACTAGTACCTTCAACAGACAGACCACAACCATCACGAGTTCGAAAAGAAATTGCGGAAAGACTGGTTATCGGCAACCGTAGCAACAATCATCAAAATCTATACAACTGCAGCCATGTTCTCGAAATACATGTGTATCCATCTCCGTAACAGTTGCAGTCAGACCAATGGCGCAACACATTCCAACAGCAATGCACGTGGCAGTTGTTCCTAGTGCGAAGAAGGGCAACATAGTGCGAGTGGTGCGATCAAGTGACGGTGACAGAACTAAAGACACCGCATCTAGTGAATAGAACTTGAGTGCATATTTCAGGTGCGTTAGAGAAGCCCTAAAAGCCTCCCAAACACTAAACCCTGAACCTTCTGTCGGCCCGATGCTGCAAGCCTGACGAGTCTCTTCCGAGGAAGGTGAAGCCTGAGCCAGATTCGGGCTCAGGGCCTGTAGCCCTAAGCCCTAAAGCCTTAAAGGAACCCTTGAAGCCCTCAACCCTGAACCCTTAATGGCTTCAAGTCTGCACGGTCGAAAGGGGGAAGAGCGTGTCAGGTCTGTGGCCTTTTTAGATGGGCTCAAGAGGATGGAAGGTTAGGGTTGCTTATGGGCGCATTCCTTGTATGAAGCTGTTATTTCTTGAGGGAGCCTCATGGTGCTTCATTCGGGTGCTTTGTCTTGGACACTACACTCTCAAGTGTAGACTTTATAGATCTTGTGAGGGGGTTCGGGATACTGGTTGAGATCTCCAAGCCCTTTGAACCTCAGACCCACCCAACACTCCCAACTTTGAGCCCAAAATCCTGAAGCCACAAGTTAAGAGAGACCCTAAACCCTAAACCCTAAACTGTAATAGGAGTTAGGATTAAGGGACCCTTGGGGATATAGACCCTCTCAATAAGGGCCCTTTTAAGACTTCAGGGTCTGGGGTCTACCTTGGGGTTTAGGGTTTAGGCTGAAGCTACCAAGACCTACCTGTTTTGTAGGGCCCCTGTACATTCTATCTTAGGGTATATGATAAGAACCTAGAGAAAAGTCGGTTTTGGTGTTTCAAAGATAGGGTCGAAGGCCAGAGTCTAGGGTCTAGGGTTTCGGGGTGCATCGCCTGTGAAAAACTGATTAAGGAACCCCTGGGTCTTCATGTTGCCCTATGCTTCCAAGGACCTTATAGTTAGGGCCCTAAACCCCTTAAGGACCCAATAATATGGTCCCTGGAAGTGTAGGGTTGGGTTTCTTAGTCAGGTTCCTGCGTCAAGATGTCTGGAGTGTTGGGGACGCACCTGGTTTTACACCACGAACCATGGAGGAGACCATCGTGCGGCCAGCCCGCTTTCGCTATTTGGTCCTAAGCCCTCATGGACCTAAGACCATAACCCCCCAACCCCGACTGCGCTTACTACTCCTTATACGCTTATTACACGCCAACTCCTCCGACGCAGTCGTCTGGATACCTTCGGGGATGTCTTGGTAAAGACTAAGCCTACAAACCCCCAAGCCGATAAGCCTGCACTCACAACACCATGCAGGCAAGCCACCGAAATGCATTGCCCCGTAGCACAGCGCCGCCTAGCCGCTCAAGGCAAGTTTGCGTTAAGTCTTCGAGGGTGGGGTCTGTCTGTCTGTCTATCTATCTGTCTATGCATGCACACAGAGATGTATGTGTACATGTATATACATATCCATATAGATGGATAGACAGATAGACAGATAGGTAGGAAGGTAGGTAGATAGATATGTATATAGTAGCGCCACATATGAAAGCCAATGTTCGCTCTGCGCGCACGATGTAGAATGTCGCTCCGATGCTCCAGGTATTCTCAGGCGAGACCTAGGCGACTCTTGAAAGAAAGCCTGACACCTAAACCCTAAACCCTAAACCGTTGTGTTACTGTAAGTGTCCTTGAAGCGTTCTTGCTGCAGAGCTTTTGGGACTCTACGGGTCGAAAGATTATGGCGTTGAGGGTTTGGGGGCTTAGGCTTCAAGGTTTAGGGTTGTTTTTGGGGGTTTGGGGTTTACGGTTCAGAGTCTAGTGACTGGTGTTCAATGTTCGGGGTTTAGGGTTCACTGCCTGAGGTGATTGAAATCTGGTTTAGGGCTCAAGTTCAGGATGTACAGTGTACGGATGGGATTTGGGATTAATGATGAATGCGGTAACTATTGGGAGCCATTCGAAAAGCCTAGTGAACACTTCGGAGTGTCATCCGTAGCGGCACCGAAAAACAACGACCATCCATCACCACCATCATCATCATCATCATCCATCATCATCATCATCATCCATCACCATCACCATCATCATCATCAGCATCTCCCTCAACCCTACATCCTAAACTCTAAATCTGTATCTCGCTAGAACAACGACATAGCAGTAGCCGTGGTATCCACGGGTCAGGTGGTCCAATAGAGCTGCAAGGTTTAGGGTTTAGGGTTTGGCCAAGACTCAAGCTTCATGGGGGGCTTGGTAGTTGCAAACGAGATTTTCGACCGGGTGGACGAGGGGCTTAAAGAGTTGGCTGTGTCGTGCAAACAGTGCAAATCCTTGAGCCCGCCCTAATACCGGACATATGAAGTAATCGACTCCAGACTCCTAAATCCTAATCGCCTGAAGGTGGACTCCTAAACCGAGGGGGATGCAGTGCTCTTGCTGCCTTGTAGTCCCGCTCCATGATCTTAAGCGCGAGTGACATTACGAACTGCGCCTGAACGTCATGAAGCCCTATAAAAACCCTTTGAGCCTCGAAAACCAAAAGACCTTATAATCAACCCCTACAAGAGCCCTGTAACACCTATCCTGCTAAACAGGGATACGAAGGGGATGAGATGTCTAGCTCTTCCTACCCATATAACAGAGCCTCACACCCCCGGCTCCTAACGCAAGCCTCATCCGGGCTGCTGGCGCTGAAGCCGCTCATGACCTCAGCATATGTGGGGACGGTTTGGTTTTAGGGTTCAGGTTTAGGGTAGGATTTTTTGGTCTAGGAATGAACTTAAGGTTTTAGGGGGTATGTGATGTTGGGGACGCTTGGTGTTCTGGGCGGGAACCCTAAACCCCAAATCCATTTTGGATGCTTGCAGCTTTTTTGGCGGACAGGGTTTCATAATCAAGGACTGAGCCGACAAGGCTATAGTGTCCGGGCTCAGAGCGATGAGAATCTGTAGTTGGGGCTGCTTCTGGTTGTGGGAGTTTGGAGCTCTCAATCCAGAGCCCCCAACTCTGAAAACACCAACGGCCTAGCAAATGTCCTTTGGAGACGACTCTCTGGGCAGCTGGGCTCTGCGCCCCAGAAGTCGAAGTAGTTAACAAGCATAATACAAGCAAGCAGTACAATCCTAGCAAGGGTCCTTCAAGATCATCATCTCAACACAGACGCTGCAAGTCTGCCTACGCCCTAAGAAAAGCCAAGAAAGTGAAGGATGAACAGCCCGGAAACCACTCTAACACAAACCGCCATGAACATGACAGCTGCTCGGCACGTGTACATGCATATACATGTGTATACAGGTGTAAGTTCCGTATGTCTGTGCGAAGGCAACGTATGCTTTGCATGCTCATGTACACAGAACATTGAAACCTGGCACTGTAAATCCGAAACAATCCGAAACTCTTATCCCTTAAACCCTAAACCTCTAAACTCTAAACCTAGACCCTAAACTCCTAAACCCTAAACCCCAAAACCCTAAACCCTAAACCCCTAAACCCTAAATTTTCCCAGATCTCTGAGGCAGCAACACCGCTGTGGTCATACTCTGGTACGACCTGCAAGTTGACCGGTTGTTCCGTTGTTTAGGGCTTTCAGGGTTTAGAGCTTTGAGGGTTTAGGGTTTAGGGCTTTACGGGGTTAAGGGTTTAGAGTTTGGGGTTAGGTTTGAGGGCTTTAGGGTTCCAGAGTTTAAGGCTAGGTTTTAGGGCTTTAGTGTTTTAGGGTTTTGGGGTTTAGGGTTTAAGCTTTTTGCTGTTTCGTAGGGGTTTCTAGCTTAAAGCCTCAACCCCTAAAGCCAAACGCACCAACCCTGCATCCTAAAACCATATTCCCTAAGCCCTACTCCCTGAACGGCACTGCGCCCTGCAACCCGACATTAGATTCAATAGAGTTTAGGCTGCTAAGATCCATCATGCATCCACGAGCACGAGGAGCGCGGAGGCCATCAACAAAACACAGGAATTCCGGAAGAGTTTCTGGTTGGGGGCTCCTGGGGTTCTTAAGCTAAGCTCAGGAGTTAGAGTTCGGAGTTAAGGTCTAAGATTCAGGGTTCAATCTCTCCTTTTTCGCTCTGAACCGTGCCGTTTTGTGGGCTTGGGACTTAGGAACTGTGTGGACCCAAAACCCTGAGAACAACGAAAAAACACAGTCTGAAAAAATCCTTCACCTAAACTTCAGAAGGCTCGATCTTTGCGGACACCCCCAAATCTAAACCCGAAAAGCCCCAGCGTCAGGGCAGGCACCGAAACTT